CCTGATCAGTTATTCGCTCGTCTGCTTTTGAACTTCGCTGGGCATGCTCTCATCTTGCCCTGCTGTTCAGGCTTCGCTATCTGTTGTCCGGACACCACCCGCTGCGGCCGCTGGTATCTTGGACTTAGGGTTTAGGGTTTAGGGTTTTGGGGTTTAGGGTTTAGGGTTTAGGGACAAAGCTGGCTTTGTTAAGGATCCTATGGGGATTTCGGGTTTGGATTAAGAGTTTTGTTCTATCTGGGTTTTATAGGGATCCTATCAGCTTTCCAGCACCCCCAAAGGTTTGTGTGGTCAACGTAAGGTTGAAGGTGTTAGGGATAGGGCTTGGGCGTCGGGGTTCAGACATTCGGGGATTATGGTTTTAAAAGTTTTAGGGATTCGGCGCTGTCAGAAGACCGATGAACTAGTATTCTATGGGAAGCCCCAAACCCTACACCTTACCTTATGTACATTGACAGTTAGTTTACTGTGTGGCTGACTGGGCTTCTCTGGGACTATTGACTATTGGCCTTGTCGGGTCCATTCAACACAAACCAACCTTTTCAATCCGGGGAAGACCCTAATTACACATTCATCAAGGTCTGCTGCTGAAGGTTGAGCCAGGAAAGCGAAAGATGTTAAGGGTGTTCCTTGTTTTATGTCCGAGATATTTGGAAGTTCAGAAAGGCCGGACCCAACTATAGGTCCTAAGCCAAACAGCAGGGTGCTCAAGCAAGGTACTGTTAATTTCAATAAACCTTCATGACACCATCAGAAGGGGGGATGACAACACACCAATGCTGTACAATCTACTATAGACTAGGTCCTTGAGTGACCCCTAAGTAACAAGGGTACCCTTTTTCCTATAGTTGGGTTTTAAAAAGGAGACCCCAAAATAAAAAGGACAAAAAGGTACTACTCAGGAACCTCGTAGAACCTCAAAACACGGGACTGGGCTGCCTCGGCAGGAAGGGCTGATTTCTGCCAGGTGATGAAGCCCCTGCGGTTCTGAAACCTTAAACCATACATCATTGCACACTCGGCTCAGCGTGAGCGCCGTGATCCTGGGCTAAACCCTATAAACCCTAAACCCCTAAACTCCAATTCAACCCTAAGGCTGTTCGAAGGCAGGCCCCCTTTTGCGGAGTTTTGCAGAGTTTTCAACACATTTCAGCAATCTGGGGTTGTAGAATAGGGTCGGCTTAGGGGCATTTTTTCTCAAATCCATCTCCGCTGAAGCAAGACATGTACAGCTTAGGATCCTTGTGGTGTTTGGGTTTCAGGTTTAGGGCTTAGAATCCTGATGGTTCAAGGCTTAGAATCCTCATGGTTTAGGGTTTAGAATCGTTCTGGTTTAGGGCTTAGAAGCCTGATGGTTTAGTCCTTAGAATCCTCATGGTTTAGGGTTTTAGAATCCTTGTTTAGGACTAAGAAACCTCATGGTTTAGGGCTTAAACTCCTCATGATTTAGGGTTCAGGCTTCAGAATCCTTCTGGTTTAGGGTTTAGGGTTTATGGGCCCCCTTCGACGACACCCTAACTCCTCGACTTCAAGAGACGTGCGAATCACCACCGAGAAGTCTCTGCCCTGCTTCTCGAGCTCGGATAGCATGTGGAAGAAGGCCGGCAGTAAGAAATGGTGCCCACCTCGGGCTGGATCCGGATTGAGATTTGGAAGAAGTGCGAAAGCCGCGATGGGAATGGGCTACTGGTGTCGTAGGGCTACTGGTAGGTTAAATTCCGGTGCAGCTTCTGTGCTAGCAGCCAGGGACAACTTTCTGCATTGTAGAGAGGGAGCTGCTAATCGCCAGCACCGTTGACCCGCATTTGTGTTGCAACTGGTCATAACACGGACTATCGATGCCATCTTGCTTTGATATGTCAACGGCCGTTGCCACAATACGCCCGGATCTTCTCAAAACACCTTTTGATCCCTGAACCTTTAAATCATAAAGCCGAACACCCGCCCTAAACCCTAAGCCCTAAACCCCTAACCACAAACCCTATACTATATATATATATATATATATATATATACCCTAAACCCCAAAACCCACCTAAACCTTAAACCCCAAACCCACATAAACCCTAAACCCCTAAATCCCTTCACCACAAACCCTAAACCCTTAACCCCTAAACCCCTAAATCCCCAAACCCTAAACCCAACCGCCCAGCAGCCTGCAGCGAAGACCTCATTGGGCTCGTGCTTCCAGCGCAGAGCTTCCGCAAGCCGCTCGTACCTGGGACTCTGCGCGTTTGGGGTTTAGGGCTTGAGGTTTAGGGTTTGGGGTTTGGGGCTTAGGGCCTAAGGTTTAGGCCTTAAGGTTTAGGGCTTAAGGTTTAGGGCTTAAGGTTTAGGGTTTGGGGTTTAGGGTTTGGGGGGGACCTTGTTTAAACGGCTTAGGGAGGGTACATTTTAGGGGTGAGTAAAATGCAGCATGGTGTTAAGAGAATGCACCATGGTGTTAGAGTGCATGTTGCAACAAAGGGGCCAAACTCTGTAGGGACGATTCTTCGGAAGAACGGGACTGGTTTCTAGTTCTCGAGATTCCTCTGTTATTGCGCGTGTTAGATGTTGGAGTAATGTATAGTATGATATTGATGATACTCGGTCTTAGAGGCAACGGCCCTGTCGGACGAAGGTGAAGGAAAAAGCTTGCCGAAACCTTAAAACCAAAAACTGGGTTACTGTCAACCAACATGAACTAAGTTACTATAATAAGGAAACCCTACTATTGACCAGATACTAGATATCCCGAATTACTGCAACTTAAAGCTAAGTTCCTTAACAGCAGCCCAGTAAAGCCTGATAGGGATCCACGAACAGAGCGCGTAACCCTGGGGTCCATCATCGGCAGAGAAACACATGCAGCATTCAACCAATTGCAGAGACGAAGTGAAAACTCTCCTAACGCCCTATGTAACCCTTCTGAAAGCCTATAAAACCTCTACACACCCTCATGAAAGCTTACAAAATCAACCAACACCTCTCAACGTCACACAACAAATCCTCCCTAAGCTCTGAAACATAATTTGAGGCCCTATAAACCCTATTCTCCTAAACCTGAATACCCCTAAACCCTTTAAGCCCCTGCATCAAACGCTAATACTCCGATTCGGCGCAGCGGTCGGTAGACAGCGCCTGCAGGGAACTCTCAGTTCGAGTTTGTCCCTTGGTTTGGGATTTAGGGATTGAGGGTTTGGGGGTTTAGGGATGTGGTCTGGACAAAATTTGGCTGTTTCGTGCGCTTTACTGCCCCCTGGCCCATCCCCTCCCCTCCTCCCCCCGGCCAGTTTCCACAGCTGGCATTTTCAGGAACCCAAACTGAACCCTCGGAAAGCTACATTTTTGGGGTTTCCAAAAGATGTCCAGAGATAAGTCCTCAAACGTCAGGTTTTTGGTGTCCAGGGAATGCCGGGGCCTGAACTAGTAGTTAGAATAGGATGGGCGTGTTTGGGCGACGATTTTTCAAACTGTAACAGCCTTAGTATAGGTCTGAGTAGGGTCCCTGCATTTCCTTTATGTTAAGGACCTCCACCAGTGGTCTTACAGGATCCATGAGGGTTTTACAACATGGGAGCCTCAACCAGTAGTGATAAAAACGGGGTTGCACGGCATATTCCGTTAGTGTATGTGCATCATGAAAGAATGCTAAGCGCGAAATCTTCAGACCCAGGTAGTAAGCGGAGCTGCGAATTCCGACTGTGACTTCGGGCTCGACTTGATGCTTGCTTCCCCAATTAAGCCAGGGAAATCAAAGGTTCAACTTTCAGACTCCTACTAGGTTATCCGAGCCCAAAAAGTTTAGGGTTTAGGGTTTAGGGTTTAGGGTTTAGGGTTTAGGGTTTAGGGTTTAAGGTTGAGTAGCCACTTCGAGGCTGCGTCAAGGCTGGGAGGATGTGACTTGAAACTCTGGGGTCGACGCTCATCATAAAATCTAAGGTTGAAACCATGGGCCCTTAGTATGGGCCCTTACCCCTGGGACCCTTATATACCTACTATATACCCTATATATACCATTAAGCGTCCCTAGAAAGGCCTAAGGGTCCATATTCGGGGCCCGTACTTCTAACCTTAGAATAAAAAGGGCTTAAGCCGCTTAGCCTTTACGGCTTAGGGTCGGGGTTACAGCTCTTTGGGGTGAGTTAGGGTTGCAACACTAACCCTATACACCCTATACACCCTAAACCCTGAAACCCTAAACCCTAAACCCTAAACCCGACAACCCTAAACTCCAAACCCTAAACCCCTAACCCCTAAACCCATAAACCCTAAACCCCCAACCCTAAACCCCTAAACCCTAAACCCTATAAGCCCTATAAACCCTATAAACCCTAAACCGATTTGGCACGCGATTTTAGCGATCTTCGGCTCCGGGCGCTCCTGGAGTCCCGGGATCCGTCAGTCGAGACGACGGCCAGGAAACATCATCGCGGAGCCTTTCTCTGGCTTTGGGGCTTAGTGTTTAGGGTTTAGGGGTTTAAGGTGTAGGATTTAGGGATGTAGGGGTTTAGGGTTTAGGGATTTAAGGGGTTTAGGGTTTGGGGATTTAGGGGTTTAGGGGCTTAGGGTTTAGGGATGTAGGGGTTTAGGGTTTGGGGTTTAGGGGTTTAGGGGCTTTGTGTTTAAGGTTTAGGGTTTAGGGATCCTGGGAATTGGAATAGGGTTCTGGGGCAAATAAGACCGGATGCTATTGTTACATTTCGTCTCGGGGCTGTCGGGGGGTTTCAAGCAACAGCAGTGGTTCAGACCCCTAAAGCAGCCTGGCGAGTTCGCGTTAAGATGGCTTGAAGCTGACAGGTTGTTGCTTTAGATAGTTGGGTTTCGGACTGCACAGCATCCCTAAACCCTAAACCCTGATCCCTAAACCCCACGCCCTGAACCCTAAGCCCTAAACCCTGAACCCTAAACCCTAAATCCTGAACCCTAAACCCTAAAGCCTAAACCCTGAACCCTAGACCCAAACCCTGAACCCTAGACCCCCTGAACCCTAGACCCTAAGCCCTAGCCCTGGTAATTGCTACGACCCCCAGCCCAAGCCCCCATTTAGCCTCCTGCGACCATGATACTGTTGATGGACAAAATCCTGCATGACCTTATATACCTAAACTATGGGGTTTATGGTACGAAACTATATTTGGGTCATGCAGGATTTTGTCCATCAACAGTAAGGGGGTTCATGTAACGGAAAATGGGGCCCGTAGTTATTGGAACAGGGTTTTGGGGCCGCTTTATAGTATTGTTTGACGAACTCTTAAGGAATAGTAGTGGTCGTCCTCTAGGCCTTTCTATATTACAGTAGGGGCCTTCATTGTTGGAGCTGGGTTTTGCGGTTTAGGGCTTAGGGTTTTTGGGGTACTATAGTATATAGTTATTTTTTGGGTGATCCCTACAAGGAATAGTACTGAGGCTTCCATATTGGCACGAGTCGGTCAGTCTGGATTTCGCAAAGCCATTTGGGTGGAGAACTTCTGGTTGCAGGCTCTGCCAAAGTTTAGAGATTTAGGGTTTAGGGTTTAGGGCTTTAGGGTTTTAGGGTTTGGGGTTTGAGGGTTTTTAGTGTTTAGGGCTTTAGGGTTTTAGGGTTTTCGGATTTAGGGCTTTGGGATTTTAGGGTCTATAGGGTCTCCATCAAAGCCGTGAGCCCCCGAAACATCTTTGAGTTCAGTGCTTCGCGGTAACCAACTCCTGCCAATCACGAACGACTTGGCCCGAACCCTGTTCCCTATCCCTATAAGCCCCAAAACCCACAAAACCCAAGAAACACCAGAAGCCCCAAACACCCAAAAAACACCCAGAAGCCCCAGAAGCCCCAAAACCCCAGAAGCCCCCCAAAACCCCTAAACCCTAAACATCTGCTAAGCCCTGAACTTGGCGCCTGAAGAAGCACCGGTCGCTGTCTTCTGGCATCTCGAATCCCGTCACCAGCGGAGGCGGAGAAGAATCCGAACGCTGACTTGCGTCCTCTTCCGACACGGAGGAGTCTCAAGGCTTTAGAGGATAATCGGAATTAGGGTTGAGGGTTTGGGCTTAGGAGCTTAAAGGGCATTGGGCCTTTTTAGGCTTCAAGTTCCCTGAACCCTCAACCCTGAACCGCTTCAAAAGCCAGGGGTGTCGATGGATTTTCGGCTTCGTCACTCGCCCTGCCGGGATCAGGGGCTTCGTGCTTCCGCCTTGTTGTGCTAGATTCTGAAGCACCAAGCCCCAATCTAGTCCATGGTTGGGATTAAATTAAAACGTGTGAATTTCTATTTCACTTGGGTTTAAGTCCTCATAACAATGCAAAAGGCTACCCAACTATGACAAAGTAACACTGTACGTCGCAAGCCGAATAAAAGCCCTTCCCCTACGGTCAACTCTGCCGTTGGAGTACGCATCCGTAGTCTGAACCCTACAGTGCTTGAAATGCTATCAGCACTATCATTAATGTTACTGTGACTGTTACTAGTACTGCTGCTATTACCACCACTATTCCTATTACTAGCATTATAAGTGCCTTTAACAGTACCATCACCATGACGATTACGATTACGATCACTGTTACCATTACTCTTACGAGTACTATTGCTACTAGTATTACTGTTACTGTTACTAGCTCGATTACAATAGCTGTAGCTACAACTACAACTACTACTCGTAGTATTCCTGTTTCTCTTCTTCTTGTTAATGACCTTGTTTCCTCACTGTTACTAGCTTGTGCTTTAAAGTATCATTCCCTTAAAGCTGAATACCCCAAACCCTAAACCCAAAACCCTAAAACCCTAAAACCCTAAACCCTAAACCCTAAACCCGAAACCCGAAACCCGAAACCCCTTAGCCCTAAACCCTAAAACACTAAACCCTAAATACCCCAAGCCCACAAAAGGCTAGCCTGTGGAATTAACTCTCCAGGGGTCCAGAGGCGAGCCATCGTGCCAAGTCTTCCTCAACTGGTCTGCGAAGTAGGAAAATGCCACAGAATTTGCGGCTCGTAGGCCCTAGGCATCATGGGTGTAGGGTTGAAGGTTTGCGGTTTCGGGGTTTAGTTTAGGGTTGAGGGATCTAACTTATTGAACTATTGAATCTGAAAAGTTTGAGAAAGCGAGGACGAAGCGAGTTTCCCGGTCTTCGAGATGAAGGCTGCCTTTGCAATGATGTTGTTGAGGGACCCACCGAAATCAACGCCGGCAGCCGGATCCCCGACCATGATGGTCTCCTGGGCTTTGAAATAACCAGGGATAAAAAAGTATAGACTTCTATTTCATAATGGTTCCTTTAATGAACAGGTCCCCCAAAAAAGTATTAAAGTATGGTACTCCAAAGCCCAGTCTCATTCACATCGAAGTGCAGAACCAGCTTGCGAGGCGTCCTCGCCTTGATCGGCTCCATGGGCCCTCGAAGGATGCGCGAACAGCGCGTCGTTGCAGCGGGGCGGGCTTTACATGGAGACAGCGACGGCGAGAACGTATCTGAATCTTTAAGCAAGAATCACGATGTTCGAAGCCATTGCTGAGCTGATGTGGCTACTGTGCATTGATTTAGCACATGTTGTATCCGTGCTCTTTGAGAAGAAAAAGATTTGCTTGTGCGGCAAGTAACATGTTGTTGCACCTGCACACAGACCAACCTCAACACATGCCCGTTCCTGCTCTCAATACCGAGCACAAGATACAAGATACTGCAGCCTGCATAGCACAGGTACGCAGCTGCGCACAAACGTTTGATGTTCGGGGCGTATCGGCTTTAGGGTTGTTGGGTTGAGGGGATTTAGGATGGTAGAGTTGAGGGGAGTAAGGGTTTGTTTCAGGTTTCAAGGTTTGTGCCGAAGAGTTTCTCATAGCCTCCGCCAGTCTCCCTCTTCTCCTTAAAATTCGAAACTCTGCCACCCTAACTCCTAAACTTTCCAAATCTCTGCGGTCTGAATTGCCGGAACCCCAAACCGTAAGCCCCGCAACCCTATACGTCCTAATCCTGAAGTCATAAACCCAAAAGCCCTTTTGGCCCTACACTACCGTCCCAAACTCCAAAGCCCCACGGCTGACAGATGTATGCTTGTCGACGGACTCCGATTCTTTTTGATAGCCGGAGCGAGTTTAGGGCTTAGGGTTTAGAGGGGGGGGTTCTATGACACAGGTATGTTGGGGAACCTAAAGATAGGTCAGGCCCCGAAACCGTCAACCCTAGCCGAAGGCTCCAGGGACTCATCATCTTCATGCGTTTGGACCCAAAGACCATGCCAAGCTATTTGTTTATATATATATATATAGGTATTTCCTTCTTTCTTTTTTTCTTTATGTCTTTCTTTCTTTATTTATTTCTGTCTTTCTTTTTTTCTTTCTTATTATACATATATATAAACAAACACATATACACATACCTATAAAAAGGCTTTTCGGCTATGGTGAGCCTTAGAGCTAGATGTTCATAGCTCCAGGATTCTGATTTAGGTTTTAAGGTCCCCTTTGCTCCGTCTGGGCTTAGAACTGAGGGTCCACTGAGAAAACAAAATGCCTGGATTAAGAAATACCGCGGCTCCGGGTTCAGGGCTACAGGGTCTACATAAGCCCAGCCCCGGTAGGTAACTAACGGCCAAACACCTAGAAAAAGCTATCATTCTGCATGCTTGTTGGGGTCCAGGTAAAGTTCGAGATGTCGAAGTGATGTGAATGCCGAAGTATATGGGCTTTCAAGGAAAATGTATGAGAGCCATGCAAACCTTAGCACCTCGAAAGGAATCGATAAATTGCCCTCGAACTACTCTATAAAGCAACCCTTGAAAGAAGCCCATTCCTGCGCACCAAATGGCACCAAACTCACAAGACTTACAGCTTGCAACCCCAAACCCTATCCCTTAAACCCTTGCCCGAAAGCATTGACCCTAAACCCTAAACCCTGCCAGGACCCCCAAATCCCCTTTCATAGAGCCCTTATGGTCCTTCATAGTGGGTATTTAACACCCTAAACCCAAAGCCAAAAGCAGACCCTAAACCCTAAACCCTAAACACCCAACACCTTAAAACAGCACACATAGCACGCATGCCCGGCCTGCACCGACTGCGCGGAAAGCTTTGCTACTTTTTTTCCAGGATACTACCCGAACGATCCCAAATCTGATCAAAAGGTTCATCCTTCTTGGGCTCCACGCGCGCGGGTTACTTTCCGAGCGAGGCCGTTTCCACTTAATTTGCATGCTGACAACCCACCAAAAACGCATTCACGCTGCAGCCGTTGTCATCACTAGCCAAGCACGAAAATACACCATGCAGTCACTGTTAGCCTGACCGAGAAGAGCACCGGCCGGAGCGGTGCGGGGAAAGGTCTCGAGGGAGGGGATCGGCCGGATACTCAGCATCACAGGGGACGATTATTAGAAATAGCATAATAATGCCACATTCAATTGAACTGGCTGCCAGCGTTCGCCAGTTCCGCGGAACCTGGCTTGGCATCATCGGACCATACAGCACGAAAGCAAAACATTTTCTGAAAGACTTGCCTTGAAGCTGAAACCATCGTACAGTCGCGCGGCCTGACACGATCTTGCATCGGAAACAGCCACGGACAGCTAGCGAAAACCGAGTGTGGCGTCCACTCCAATTCGGAGTTTTGCTGTCTCGGTACCAACCTAGCATACAGAAGAACTTGCAGAATGGCCTTCCCGTGACTCGGTGCTGGGTTGCCACCCTCGGGATTCGGTTAGAAGATGAACCGCATCGATAACTTGCTTCCCGGCCTGAAATATGCGATGAACAGGAGAATGCGAGATGATAAGCACGAGAAACTGCAGCGACAAGGCCTCCACTTGCGTCACTTGCGCCACGCTAGTCTGACAGACTTATGGCGCGACATACAGGAGAAACTGTCTGACACATAAAGATAACATGCATCAACCAGGGTAGTCGTAGACCTAACAGCGGAGTCACCCCAACACAAGACCCGCCTGCTGCCAGTTCAAAAGGGCTGTGACCTCCAGACGTCCGATATACACATGCACAACTGCTCATGAATTGCCCTGTCCAACATAGATCCCTCTACTCAGGGCACAACCTGCTCGCTCTCGATACCAGTCTGATGGCATCATGGACTGCAAGACGCAGACTGCTTGCGCATGGCTCATCCCTGATCCTCCAATAGTCTCTTA